TCGAAAGAAGCTGAACTCATCCCATTCATGGCAGCTCCAAGGAAACATTCCCAGGACTCACAACCCACTGGCAAATCCAGGTCCTGTGTTTGTTCCCTGTCACATCCCACGGGGTGTCCCAAGCCCTGGAGCTGGCGGGGAGCCCTGGCAGTGCTTTGCTGACTCAGATAAGGAAGTTTTAGTGTGACACTCACCTGTTCACCTTTTGCTTTAGGGACAACTCTTTTATCTTCCATGTCGCACTTGTTTCCTAACAGCATCCTCTCCACGTCCTCGTTGGCGTGCTGCAAGGACAGGGGACAGGGTCAAGGACATGGGACAGGGTCAAGGACACAGGGACAGGGTCACACCTCCCCCAGCCAGCACCAAACACCTGCCCCACTCTGCTGTGGCCAGGCCAACACCCACAGCTCGGGTTTGGTGACATCTACAGCTGCCAAAATTGAGCTCTGTGCACTGGTTAGAAGCTGTAACTAAAACCCAGCCTCCTAATTACCTCCTAGAGCTGGTTAAGTGTTTTCTCCTCCCCATTTTGCTGCTCCACAGTGAGAAGGGTGAGCCAGGGGAGGAAGAGGGACTGGGGAGGAAAACAGGGAGGCAGGACCCAGAGAGAAATGTGGGAGAGAAGGAGAACAGGTTTGGAAAGCCAGAGAGTGGATGAGGGGTCAGCAAAGGGAACCAGGGAGGTGAGGGGTCGGTGTTTCCTGAACAGTGTCAGGGCAGGAGGACACAGGGTCAGCCTGGGCAGGGATGAGGAATCCAGGATTCAGCCCCTGGCAGGGGGATATGGATCATTTCTCACCAGACCTGGCTAACCAGGGTGGTCCCACACACCTGGAGGTGCCAGTGTGAGGCCCATCTCCAGGAAGGGCTGGAAGGAGGATCCAGGGAACTCCAGGCCTGTCACCCTGCTCATCCTGAGTGTGATCACACAGCACACACGGGACAAACAGGGGGTCAGGCCCAGCCAGCCTGGCTTTGTGACAGGTCCTGCCTGACCAGCCTGATCTCCTCCTATGGATCAGGGAAAGGCTGTGGATGCAGCTGCCAGGACTTCAAAGAAGGCCCTGACACCATTTCCCATGGCAGTCTCCTGGAGAAACTGGCTGCTCATGGCCTGGACAGGTGTGCTCTCACCGGGATAAACCTGGCTGATGGCCCAGGGAATGGAGTCCCATCCAGCTGGGAATGGGCTCCAGTGGGTTACACAGGGGTTACACAGGGTTACTTCCTGCTGGAGGGCAGGAAGGGCCTGCAGAGGGATCTGGCCAGGCTGGATCCATGGGCTGAGGTCAGTGGTGTGAGGGACACCCAGGCCAAGTGCCAGGTCCTGCCCCTGGGTCACCACAACCCCATGGAACGCTCCAGGCTGGGGACAGAGGAGCTGGAAAGCTGGAAAAGGACCTGGGAATAATTTCTTCCCAGAAAGGGCTGCCCAGCCCTGGCACAGCTGCCCAGGGCAGGGGTGGAGTCCCCATCCCTGCAGGGATTTGAAAGCCCTGTGGATGTGGCACTTAGGGACAGGGGTCAGGGGTGGCCTGGGCAGGGCTGGGTTGGACTCAGTGGTCTCAGAGCTTTTCCAACCCAAACAACTCCGTGCTTTCTGCAGACACACTCCAGCACTGAGCTTCTCCCACAATAAAAGAAAGCTTCCTGAGGTGTCAAACGTCCCTTTTAAAGCCACAGTCACTGAGCAGCCCCCACAGTGCCCCTGAAATCAGCTGCCCAGGTTTGTGTGACACAGACTGAAAACATGAGGGCACCAAAAGCACTTCTCAGCCCCCAGGGGGTGAATGGGGCCCATCACTCACCTGGACACCAGCAAGTTTTTAACAAAGCCACTGCAGAAGCTCAAGGCCTCAGTTCCAAGCTTACATTCAACTCGTTGCTGAGTCTCTTCCTGTGCTGCCTTATCCCCCCTCCTGTTCCCACCACGCTGCAACTTTCCACAAACAGGATGGTTCCCCATTTTTCACGCTGGGAAATCCAAATCCCAACATCCCATGTTTGCTCTACTGCCTTCCCCAGCCCTCAGTGCTGCCCTGGGCAGTGCCTGCCAGCCCAGATCTGCCGTGCCCAGTTCTGCAGGGCCACCCCCATGCCTCCCAGGAAAACCCAAACACCTATTCCATTTGGGAGCAGCATCACAAAAGCAAGAAGTACCAGTTGTGCCGCCCTCTTAAACGCCTCAGAGCTCCTGGAGGATGAACTCTTGGGCACCCAGGCACTTTGTGCTCCCCCAGCAGCTTCTTCTGCTTCACTTGACCTTGCCTGAAACTTCCCAGCCTCCCTGTCCTGGTTCTCCTGTGCCAAGGGCAATAATCAGCTCCACAAACATTCCCAGCAGAAGGTGCCACGGCACCTGCAGCAGCCAGGGGGACCTCCCAAATACCTCACAACATGGTTTTTGGGGAGTGGAGGTTATATATATACACAATACTTAGAGGATTTACACAGTGACACTCAGAAAACAGTTACTCTGAGTGCTGACACACTGTGCAGCTCCTCTCCAGCTCGGGGCTTTGGTGCTGGCAGCTGCTCCCAAACCTGCTGCTCCCAGTTCCAGGCGAGCTCCTCCCCTCCCTCCATTCCCCAGCACAGACACAGAGTCTGCCCACGTGCAAAGCTGGTATTTTGGGACACCCCTGGCCCCTGTGCAGAGTCCCAGCCCCTCCTGGCAGTGCTGAAGGGGCAGCTGGGGGGCACACAGGACACCTGAAGCCCAGCACCAAGCCCTGGGTGAGTGTTCACCCTCTGCCAGGGGGGAGCAGAGCCCGAGCTCTGGGGTACCCCTCCCATGCCCAGTGCTCACCACACCCCCAGTGTGGGGTCTCAGCCCCATCACCCACCTCATCTATGTTCCTGAGCCACTTGCTGATGTTCTCGAAGCTCTTGGCGTTGGTGATGTCGTACACCAGCATGATGCCCATGGCTCCTCTGTAGTAGGAGGTGGTGATGGTGTGGAACCGCTCCTGCCCCGCCGTGTCCCTGGGGAAAACGGGCACAGCCACGTCAGGGAAGCAGCCCAGGGCATCCCTCAGTGTGTGTGCTCTGCTGCACCATCCCCAGGGGATGCACCAGGGTCTCCAGGAGCCTGGAACTGCAACCCACAAGGACCCGACCCAGCTGTGCCACTGCCACGATGGCCTAGCAGCTGCTGAGACAGTCACAGGCATTTCCTGACCCTCAGACTCAACACTGAGAGGAATTTGGGCTTGGATCAGTTTTATAAAGATTCTACTTGATCTTACAGATGTATTTTCCTGAAGTGTTCAGTCCAAGTGTAGGACACCTAAACAGAGAAGTGCTGTAATGTTAAGTGTTGATGTCTGCAAGCTGAAGATTGATCCTGCAGCATTAATGACAGCCTGGACTGTCCCATCTCATCCTGGGATCTTTGAAAGGATGGATGAGGATTGGTTAAACAAACCTGTCAGTAAATGGAGAACCAGGAGTTAAACTCGTGTTCCACAGTGTCTTTCAGAGGACACGACCCCAGCAGATCCAGGTTTAGGGGCAGTTCTCAGTGACACCGTTCAGACATGGAGCTGCCAATTCAATTTGTTCCCACACTGGATTTCTGGCCAAGGATCAGCTGGAATTGGGGAGTAAATGGAAAGCCTCGAGATGCACAGATGCCACGGAGGAGAGCTCCTGAGGTGCAGGAAATGCTCTGAGTTCTCTGCTCAATGAGTGTTACGGCTCTGGTCTGGCTCCGACCCCAGAGGCTGTTCCAGCACACAGGCAGCTGATCCCTTATCTGCTCCAGGAACTGCCAACACCGAGGGAAGGGCAATGAGCAGAGGAGGAAGACCAGGGGCAGGTCCCAACTGGAGCACTCCCTGCTCAGGGATGTCCTAACAGGCCGTGCCATGCCGAGGCCTGGATCGCTGGCTGTGGCCTCGGGAGGCGAATCCAGTCCATTCCCAGCTCCACAGAACATCCAGGGACACCCACACTACTCCCAAAAGATGCTGCTGGAGACCTTCCCCAGCCCTCACTCAGTGGCCAAAGGCCTCAGGTGGCCTCCCCTGCCCCTCCCTGTGGGCTCCTCCAGCCTGGCCCTGTCCCAGCACGTCCAGGGCGCTGCTCCAGCCCCACACAGGGATATTCCCCAGACAGGCCTCTTCCCTCATCCCACTCCCTGCCCCGAGGAGGAGGCAGACTGCTCTGCCATGTGAGGACTGGTGGCACACACTGAGCTCTGACTCTGCCTTTGGCTGCTCAGAATTCCACAGGACTTTTCCAGTGACATTCCTGCAGTCAGCCAGAAGCAATGGCAACCATAACCCACTCCTTGATGTGACTTACACCTCACAGCTTCACCTTTCCTGGCTGATCCCAAACCCAAGAACCACAACCCATCCCCTTCTCCCAGCTGTGAACTCTCCCCTGGGAGGGTGGGGAGGCCCTGGCACAGGCTGCCCAGAGCAGCTGTGGCCTGCCCCTGGATCCCTGGGACTGTCCAAGGCTGGGTTGGATGGGGTTTGGGGCAACCTGGGCTGGTGGGAGGTGTCCCTGCCCATGGCAGGGGGTGGAATGGGATGATCTTTCATGTCCCTTCCAACACAAACCATTCTGATTCCATGACTCCAGAAAACACTGCCTGTCACCACACTCAGGACAAACTCCTGCAAATCATCTCCATGGATCTCCCCTCACATCTCATTTCTTTTCTCCGTGAGTTCTGTACCCACTTGCCAGCACCTTCCCCCAAGTCACTCCCTCTCACTGGCTCCTATCATGCAGGACAGCATTGGAAAAGCCTTCCCAAGCCCACCAAATGTTTGGGATCTGTGATTCCCCCCTCCTGGAGGATCTAGCAGCCGTCACGGGAACAATTCTCAGCGGGTTTGACACAACTTGGCATTGGCAACGGGGAGCTGCTACTCCCTGCTTGTCACATCCTACAACCACCTCCCTGGGTTAACTCCTCCAGTGCTTTTCCTGGCAACTGGAGCTCAGCTGATGGAAGAAAAAAGCTGGGGAGGGAAAAAAGCAAAGAACCCGGAGGAGTGTCTCCCTTTCTTTCTTTTTAAATAAATCCTCCAGCTGCCCTTTCCCCTCCTTAATGGATTCTCCATTCATTATTCAGAGATAACTCCTAATGGATGGGAGATTAGGGCCGGGCTGAGGCAAACAGAGGAAGTGAGTTATGGCTCTCCCAGTGCCCAGGAGTGCTGGATCCACCCTGAGCAAACGGCAGGAGACAGTCAGAGCCCGCGGCCGTGTTTGCTGCCCGGGCTCCCCATCCCTCTGTTCAAACCTCAGGGAGGGGGGAACAGAGCTCTGGGGGTGCAATAAATGCTGGATGTGGGCACAGGCACGGGCACAAACTCCAGGCTCACATAAAGGTGGGCAGGGATCACGGAGACAGCCAAGGAAAATGAAGAGGGAGCTCGGATGGTTGGGCTGCAAAGTGAGCACAAAGGAGGTCCCCTGTGGGACTGGGGAGAGGAGGGGCACGAGGAAAGTGAAAAATCTATTTGAATTACTCTCGTGCCAACATTAAAATATGCATAGGCTGTATCATATTAGAGGTTTAACCCACAGAGAAAGGAATTTCTGGGCCAGCTTTCCGGCTGACCTGGCAGAGACTAAAGAAACCCTGAAGTGCACTATGATTTATTGATGAAGGGTTTACACGGCTGCAGCACGAGGAGATCAGATCTGGGCATCTGTGAACATCCTCCCAGCTCATGTTGCTCAAAATGAAGGTCTCCCACATATTGAACCAAGCAATTCCTGGCAAAATGATCCCCAGAATTTCACTGCTGTCCCACTGCTTCTTCCTGCTGTGTTTGCCAAAGTGTGCAGCACAACATGGCAGTGGAGACCTGTCCTGCTGACCCAGAACTCTGGCAGCTGCAGTGACCAGGCTGAGGACTTTCCCCCCCCAAAGGAAAAGTGCCCCTGTCCAGCCCATGGCTTGGACAGTGTGTTCCTGGCTGGGATAATCCTGGGCCCAGGGAGAGGTGGGGAATGGAGTCCCATCCAGCTGGGAATGGGCTCCAGTGGGGTTACACAGGGGTCAGAGCTGGGACCAGCCCTGTTTAACACCTTCATTGATGATCTGGATGAGGGGATTGAGGGCACCTCAGTCAGGTGTGGATGACACCAGGGTGGGTGGGATGTGGGTCTGCTGGAGGGCAGGAAGGGCCTGCAGAGGGATCTGGCCAGGCTGGATCCACGGGCACCCTCACACAGGAGACACAGGGAGGGGCTGGAGCGTGGGCAGGGAAGGGAAGGGAGCTGGGAAGGGGCTGGAGCAGCAGGAGGAGCTGAGGGAGCTGGGGGGGCTCAGCCTGGAG